ATGCGGGTGACGTCCATGGTGCGGGTGACATCCGTGATGCGGGTGACGTCCGTGATGCGGGTGACGTCCGTGATGCGGGTGACGTCCATGATGCGGGTGACGTCCGTAATGCGGGTGATGTTCCGTGGTGTGGGTGATGTCCGTGATGCGGGTGACGTCCGTGATGCGGGTGACGTCCGTGATGCGGGTGACGGCCGTGATGCGGGTGATGTTCGTGGTGCGGGTGACGTCCGTGATGCGGGTGACGTCCGTGGTGCGGGTGACGTCCGTGATGCGGGTGACGTCCGTGATGCAGGTGACGTCCGTGATGCGGGTGACGTCCGTGGTGCGGGTGACGTCCGTGGTGCGGGTGACCTCCGTGGTGCGGGTGACGTCCGTGATGCGGGTGACGTCCGTGGTGCGGGTGACGTCCGTGGTGCGGGTGACGTTTGTGGTGCAGGTGACGTCCGTGATGCGGGTGACGTCCGTGGTGCGGGTGACGTCCGTGATGCGGGTGACATCCATGATGCGGGTGACGTCCGTGGTGCGGGTGACGTCCGTGATGCGGGTGACGTCCGTGATGCGGGTGACGTCCGTGATGCGGGTGACGTCCGTAATGCGGGTGACGTCCGTGATGCGGGTGATGTCCGTGGTGCGGGTGACGTCCGTGGTGCGGGTGACATCCATGATGCGGGTGACGGCCGTGATGCGGGTGATGTTCGTGGTGCGGGTGACGTCCGTAATGCGGGTGACGTCCATGGTGCGGGTGACGTCCGTGATGCGGGGGACGTCCCTGATGCCGGTGACGTCCGTGATGCAGGTGACGTCCGTGGTGCGGCTGACGTCCGTGGTGCGGGTGACCTCTGTGGTGCGGGTGACGTCCCTGATGCGGGTGACGTCCGTGATGCGGGTGACGTCCGTGGTGCGGGTGACGTTTGTGGTGCAGGTGACGTCCGTGATGCAGGTGACGTCCGTGGTGCGGGTGACGTCCGTGGTGCGGGTGACGTCCGTGGTGCGGGTGACGTCCGTGGTGCGGGTGACGTCCGTGATGCGGGTGACGTCCGTGGTGCGGGTGACGTCCCTGATGCGGGTGACGTCCGTGATGCGGGTGACGTCCGTGATGCGGGTGACGTCCGTGATGCGGGTGACGTCCGTGATGCGGGTGACATCCATGATGCGGGTGACGTCCATGGTGCGGGTGACGTCCGTGATGCGGGTGACGTCCGTGATGCGGGTGACGTCCGTGATGCGGGTGACGTCCATAATGCGGGTGACGTCCGTAATGCGGGTGATGTTCGTGGTGCGGGTGACGTCCGTGGTGCGGGAGACGTCCATGATGCGGGTGACGTCCGTGATGCAGGTGACGTCCGTGATGCGGGTGACGTCCGTGATGCGGGTGACATCCGTGGTGCGGGTGACGTCTGTGATGCAGGTGACGTCAGGTGATGCGGGTGACGTCCGTGATGCGGGTGACGTCCGTGGTGCGGGTGATGTTCGTGGTGCGGGTGACGTCCCTGATGCGGGTGACGTCCGTGATGCGGGTGACGTCCGTGGTGCGGGTGACGTCCGTGGTGCGGGTGACGTCCGTGATGCGGGTGACGTCCGTGATGCGGGTGACGTCCGTGATGCGGGTGACGTCCGTGGTGCGGGTGACGTCCGTGATGCGGGTGACGTCCGTGATGCGGGTGACGTCCGTGGTGCGGGTGACGTCCGTGGTGCGGGTGACGTCCGTGATGCGGGTGACGTCCGTGATGCGGGTGACGTCCGTGGTGCGGGTGACGTCCGTGGTGCGGGTGCCGTCCATGGTGCGGGTGACGTCCGTGATGCGGGTGCCGTCCGTGATGCAGGTGCCGTCCGTGGTGCTGGTGCCGTCCGTGGTGCGGGTGACCTCTGTGGTGCGGGTGCCGTCCGTGG